ATCTTGATCAATATAGTATGAAATCATTTGTGAAGGACTTCCTGTTTAATAAATGGATATATTAAAGTGCTCTAACATTGTCTTCATCTGTAAAAGCAACATATAAACCCTGCATTTCATGGGTGATAGGTTAATTATCTGATAATGCAGTTACTAAATGCATTTCCTATGCGAGGCAATGCCTTGTGCTTCGAAAACAAACACGTGCATTAAAGCAGAGCTAACAAGGGAGGAAACAGGACAGATGCAGGTGGTTGAACGAGTGTTATGGTAAGAATCTGCGTGGCCCTTTTAGACTCTCAAGGGATTCATGTCCACGTGGGGAGGCAGGGGTGGGACATGGTGGCAGGAGGGGTGAATTCCTGCACAAGGGCTCCCTGGGGAGCAGGGGGCTCGCGGGGCTCCTGCTCGGTGGCCTCTGGGCAGCCGCTACCCCGGGTCGGGTCGGGCTCGTCTGCCCTGGGGCTGTGCGCAGGTGGTGGTTGTCAGCAATGAGCTTTTCTGTTGCATCCATTGAACCCATCAAGACCAGGCCTCAGTGGAACTGGTGCTGCTTAAGAAAAGAGTTAAAGTGCTGGAGATGAAGGCAAATTGCTGCAGACATTGTAATCCGTGGTGTTTCTTGGTCAAAGGAAACTTTGTCAGAGTTGAATACAAAATAATTCTACCCAACTTTCAGACACTTAAACTTCCTTCCATCTCCTGGGAAGCAGCTGTCTTGCCGTTTTGTTTGCTACTCCTGTTGATGTTTAGTATTCCCACGTTGAGGCATAACTGACTGTTTTCAATTTGCTAGGTTTTCACAGTGCGAACGTAGCTGCAAAGAGCAAGCCCAAAGGGAAACGTTGCCAAATGTCAGCGCTGCAACTCCCGTGTCTACACATGTACCTGAGATGAAGCTGCTCCTCGCAAGGCGCGCGAGCAGCAGCGCCGGTGCCGTGGTGCTGCGCTGGGCAGCCCGGGACGCCGCTCGGGGCACCATTCCGGGAACGCTCCTTTGGACTGCGTAGAGGCAAGGCAATAAAATGAGCCCTTGAAGTACGGCACGTGCACCCAGGATTTCTATTAAAAGAGGTTTAATCCAGCATGGTTTCTATATATGTTAACCATGTACTAGTTGCCAGCTGTGACATGCAATACATTTAAAAATAATAATACTACAAAATAACGAGTATAAAAATGAGTCCAGGTCCCCTGACATCACAGTCAGTGTCAGTAAAAGTTGATAGTAAAGAGAAAAGAGATGTGTGGAGTTTCACACAGGAGAAGGTCTGTAGAGCTCTTCTGTAAAAGCAAAGACTATCACATTTGGAAGCACATTTTATTCTCCTTTTATTCCTTCAGTGGCTGGGAAACGCAAGTTGAGGAACCTGCCTGTTGGAGGTCTCCATCCGTCGCCGGCTCCGCTTCCCAAGTACCTGTTTGCTGGTAGGTACCGGGTGTTTGCCCGTTAGCAGCCAGCTGCTAGCAGGAACTGGAAGGCACACAGTAATCTTGTTCCAAATGAAAATCTGCCTTTAATGTTTTAGCTCTGTTTTTCATTTATTCTATTAGTACCATCTGCTCTCACTTTATTTATTTTGTTAAAGCCACCTGTCCTGAGTCTCTATTAAGTGTTTTTAATGTATAAGGTTTTCTCTGAAATAGACCTATCAGGTGCTGTGTATGAGGGACAGGCCATGCTTTTTACATGAGCAGAGTGCGCTTACACATGGGCTCAAATATTGCAAGGTAGGTTGCACTCCCCGTGGAGAAAAACAAGTGTAAAGTCAAAAGGTTTTTTCCCCCAAATGGCTAACCCTAGGAGAGAGAAATCATGTCCTTTCAGACAAAGGAGAGTATTAAAAATAATAATAATTAAACAGGGGACTGGGAAAATGATTTTCACTGCAAAGACATTCTTTACTTCGGAGGCTGATGTCTGCATCTTCACACGGGGAAAGGAGCGTTGCCCTCCTAGGGCCGGGGTGTCCTGAGTTGTTCAGAAAACGTCATCTCCGAACGCTCCTGGCGAGTGGCCCGAGGGCAGCGCCGCTTCCCGCTGGAGAGCTGGTCCCGGAGCGCGAGGGCAGGCAGGGGCCTCCTGCCGGAGCCGCCCCCGGAGCGCGATGGGACCCACAGGCCATGGAGGCTCTGGCCAGCCCGGCCCAAGGGCTGCCCGCCCATGGGGTCAGCGCAGCCTCTCCTGCTCTGCCCAGGACCTCGGGCGAACTGCAAGGGTGGGATGTGATCCCATCCGAGCAGCTTAAAAAATGGGAATTAAATGTCCGATGAACCAGCTAACCTGCGGCACAGTTACGCTTTGAGGTTTGATCCTGGTGCAGATTTCCAGTTGTCATTTCTTTTTATCACATATAGGTGGTGGATATGAATGCATTGAAACCAGCACATTAGCTATAATCTGTGCCTGCAATGCTTGAACTAGTGGAATATTTAGACTTTTAAGAAATACTATTTGTTAGATAATCTAGAAAAATACAAATAAAGTAGAGGCATTCTCTGCCTCTTGGCTTTGGCACAGCAAGAAGTATAAAAGTTTTTAAGTGTTAAAGATTTGGAATTAAGAAAGCGTATTAAAAGCTCTGCTATAAAGTGGAAATGCTGTGTTCCTGTTTACTCAGTATATTCTAGAGCTGAGTACAGAAGAGAAAGGAGAACTGGGGTGTTTGTTCGAAACCAGACCTATGTTAGAGATTGAACTACTTTAAAATCATTAGTTCTGAAGGAGTGTTCACTGCTATTGCATAGTCTGCTCACCAACTGCCCTATGCTGTGGTGGTTCCATAAGCAGCGAGGTGAAAACAGGATACCAAGAGCGACCAGGGAAGTATCTCCATGGGCAGTACATTCAGCAAAGAGGAAAGTGCTTGGGCATCATCTTCCCTTCACAGTTCATTGCTGTCCTGCTCTTCAGTCGGAATCGGAATCAGAATCTTCTTCTGAAGCTTAAAAAAAAAAATAGCAAAAATGAAAACAAAATCTCCACATCAGCTTTAGCTCTTGCTTACAGAGATCTGCCATTGTTTCTAGGGTGTGTTTCAGAGGATTGGTATATTTAGGAAAAAGGCTTGTAAAGTGACAGTGATGCAGCCTTAAATGGTGTTTCTAAGGGTTTGAGAAACGCTGCTGAGAGGAGCTTGCCCTCAGCCTGCTGCAGCGAAGAGGATGACGGTTCAAGCAGAAGGGGGTGAAGAGAAGTTGTTAGGGCAGCCACAGGGAAGTTTGCCTAAGAAGGGCTTCCTGTGCTAGCATTTTGCTGCCTGCTCTTGGGCATAGTTGCAGGCTGCCAACTCAAAGCGAGAAGTTTAAAGATGTTAGGGAATCCCGATGAGCCTGTGGGAGCACGTCCTGCCCAAGCCTGAAACCGCGTGGGCAAAGATGCGAGGGGCTCGTGGCCTCGGCGGCTGGGAGCCGCAGCAGGAGCTTTGTGTCGAGCAGCAGCGCTGCAGGGCCCGGTCCCTCCGTTGTCAAATCACTGACACAGAGCCGCGTGGCGCTCTGAGCTTTGTGAGTTCGTACATTTTTCTCTCTGTCTTCAAGCAAACAAACCCGAATCTTCGCCTGTTTGTATACCCTAGTCAGCCTGTTCTCGTTCTGTGGTCGGTTCCATTTGCAGAGTCGAGTTTCTAGTTTTTCCAACAGGCTGTTTCTGTAATTCTTCTTCCCTTAAACTCTATTTTTGGTCTAAAAGCTTACAAAGCATTTGTTAAAATGCTTCCAAACAAAGTTAAAAGCTTACAAAGCATTCAGCTGTCTACTCAAGTACCTAGAAGAGGCTGTTAGCATTACTGCATACCCTCTAGGGTTCTGTGTGCATATCCTACTTGTTTTTATAAATTTAAATGCAATTTTTAGATCTGCCTTTACGCAATATGTAGTATCACAGGGGCATCATCTCTGATTTTGACTAGTACTGCTATATAGGCTGTATTCTGACTTCACTAGCAATGGGTTACACCTTGAACATTTCTACACAAAGGCCGATCTCTTCAGCTGTGCCTAAATGGAGGTGCCTGATCGGAGCTAGTCCCTTCTGTAGCTCCTGTGTTAGAAAGAAATTGAGCAACTGTCTTGTTCCTGTTATGCAAAGTGAGGCCTCTAGATTTCAAGGCTGCTTGTCCAGATGGGCAAAACTTGGTGCTGAATAAGTTGTAATAGCAGAATAAAGAGAAAAGAGCGATTGCGTATTAAAAACTGAAGCAATGGATGGTAATTATTAAGTTACTCAATGAAATGTTTGTTTAAAAAGTAGTGTTTATTTTTAGACCAAGACATTCTGATGTCAGGAAGAAGTCTGTGTGGCAGAGTAATTTTTATAATTGCATATAGGGACTTTCAAAATCAGATGCAACAAAGCTCCATGAGAAACTATACTTCAAATTCTCAGCTTGCTAGTATCTTGTTAACTCAGTAGAATTCCAGTTGTTTTGTATTAAGAAGACTAAGCAGCTTCATAATACAGAGTAGCTGAGGCATAGAAAATTTAAGTAACGAAGAACACAAACAGTTATACTAAGTTTGAGAACTCCTGCACCCCTGTGAAGTGTGAAGTACAGGAAAGTCTCATGTTAGCTGCTTGTGTAGCCAGAATGGGGCAGGTTACCTACCGTCTGACTTGCGCCCTTCAGCGGGACTGGATGTGCCTTGTTTGAGAAACGTAACCAGGTCGTTGAAGGTTATGTAGAAATCAATGGCATACACTATTGTGGCAATAAATCCAAACACCTAAAATAACAAAATAATACTATCATCTTCAAGAGCAATTCATGTCAGCCATCAGTGACAAACCAGTATAAGCTTAACTGAAACAAGAAAAATTGTTGGAGAAAACTTGGGCCTGATTTTGGACTGTGCCCTTCCAGAAAGGGGATGGAAAAAGAAGGGCTAAGCCCTGTGAGCCATTGACATCTATGGAACTATAGATAGCCCAGGAGCCCAGCTGCTGCAGTTGCCCTAACAGATGTTTCTGTAGCCCTTCCTGGGGCTAACGTGGCACGTGGTGACCCGTGTCACTGCCCTGGCCTGGAGCTACAGGAGACCCCACTTGTGTGTCTCCAACGCGCTGCTTCACGTGGCGGCGTCGCCCGTGTTTCTCTAGAAATGTCCCAGCCTTTTAAGGCTTGGGTCTTGTTTCCCCACTAGATTGCAAGGGTACATGTCTATTGTAGAACAAAATGGTTTGAGATACACTGTTTCTGGAGTGACCTATTTGGTGTCAAAGAACAAGTAATCTAGCAAAAATAGGCAATTTTCAGTCAAATAAACTAAGTGCTGCATGTTATGTGCCATCTCTGAACACAGTAACACAATTTTTGTGTTGAACACAAGATCTTTGTATTAAATTATGTGTGACTTTGAATTCCTTGGTAAAGGCTGCTGGCTACCAGTACTGGATAATTTTCCCATCTATTTTTAAAAAGTATTATGGAAATTTTGTTTATATTGCATATATTATTCATGCTTAGAGTCAAGTTGCGGATAGTGAGGCAGTATCTTATTTCTGAACACTAAATGCTAATGATTAAGGCTCTCTCCTGGATGGTCTCTATACTGGAGACACTCTATTTAAGAGTAAAATTATGGTGTTTTTGTTTCAACTTATCTTGGTAAAAGTGTAAAGGCACAAGACTAAAATGGCTTAAAATATTTTAATTTACACTGTACAGAGTAGTTAGACTTGGTTCTTTTTTTATTTAGTTATTTTTTTATTTAAGATTCTTGGTGTTCTTTTCAAGAATAGATAAATGGATATGGAGGATGAGAACTGATGATCATTGATATAAAATCCTTTTTTCTAAAATGGACCATTTGTTCTTCTTTAGGCAAATCTCAATCTAATTTTCAATTAGTAAATTGAAGAAACTTATGTCTGTGTGCAAAATACAAAGGCAGAAAGCTCATGTCTACTTACTCCAGCTGCTTTAGAGGCTCCATCAGAATATTTTGAGACGGCAGCAATTGAGATGGCAAAGTAAATAATAGCAGCAGTGACGCACCGCAAGAAATCCTGTAAAATGAGAGATGCCGCTTTGTCAGATTAGCCACATTATTCCAGCATACAAACTCCTCCAAAAATAATTTTACCAATGATGATTAAAAAGCTTTGATGTTATCTCATTGGACTTGCCCGATGTTGGGCTGTAACTACTGTCTGATATTTTGTAGTCAGTGAAATTGTTCATCTGGGAAATATTTATAAATGAGAGATGACTGGAGTCTTGGCATTGGCTTCTGCGCTTATAGACGTTGGTATAAATCCTACTTTTATCATGCTTGTGTCAGGCAGACCTCTCTTCAGACTGGGAAAGGACATCTTTCTGTTCTGTTTCCTGTAGAATACAGTAAGGACTAATGAAATGTCTTAGAAAGTTTCATCTTTAAACAGAACTCCTTTGGTACAAAGTGCTCTTGGAAGAGTGTGCCCCTTTTTCTGGAGAGAGGGCAACACTGAAATGTGCACAAGTGTGGGCTTGTTTTGGCACTTTCTCTTAAAAAATTAGCACTCTCTGTAGGGACTAATCATTTAGGAACTGAGCATTTTGTTCAGTGTAACACACTAGGCAGAGAGGATAGTTTTGTGGCTGGCACTTTGGTTGCTGCCAGGAGGTGCCCGTTGCTGCCGTAGCCGCGCGCCGCTCGGGCTGAGGCTGCGGCTCCCCGGGCGGCCGGGCCCTGCGGGGCTGCAGGGGTGGCCGGAGCAGCAGAGCGAGTGCTGGCCGTGTGGTGGCTCTCAGGGCAGGTTACCCTGTGAGCTGGCAGGATCGTGTCTTGGCTTCTGCTCACAGTTAATTTTTGGCCTTCCCAGAACAGATGGATCAATAAGATACTGTCCTAAAACACGAGTCCTACAAGAGACTTCATTCCTCTGAAGTCACAACAAGGTCAGTTACCTATATTTTGAGGCTGGAGTATCTGGATATAATAAACATTAAAGTGTTTGTGTGTGTGCGTGTGGTAGTTGAGGAATCAGATACATGTTTACACTAGGAAATCAATGTAACTGAGATTACCAGTTGCAAATCACACAAACTCTGTGGCTGCTATTGTTTCAGTCCACAATAGGCTTCTCCCATTTTGTTTTCCTACATGAAGGGCTGTAATTCAAGTCTCATTATGACAAGCTATTCCTGCACATCCAAATGAACTGGATTGGCCTTTTCGAAATGATCTGTACTGCTAGGTAAGAGCTGCCTTCCCAATCTAACTTTGAAGCAACAGAGACATCCAGTGGCCAGTTCGGAGCAGTCGCCTGCAACGCAAAACCTGCCGGTTTCCTCAGGAATAGCCAGTGATCTGTGTGTGAAGGAGCCGGCCACAGCTCCAGCGCTTGCCTGCGTAACAACCCCGAGCCATTTGTTTCCACATCCCCGTGACTCTGGAGCTGCACTTCCCATCTGGGAATTCCAAAGCATTTTAGTAAAGTCATGCAAGTACATTATAGCATGCCTCGGTTTCCCCCTTTTGTAAGGGCTGCACTACAAAAACACTCCAGCACTGTTAAGACTTCAGGTTAGGCTGATGCTGCTGGCTTTGGAAGACTCAGCCCTAAGCCGTTTGTCCGGAATAATGCACAAGTTCTGTGCTCTAATAACAATGCACTTTCTGTCAACACCTAGAAAACTAGAGACTGTAGCACAACGTGATTTAAATGACTGACTGCAGTATTTTTATCAACAGATAATATAGTCCCAAATCTTGTATAGTCCCTTTACTCATATTACCTCATACTGTACAGTTAAATTTCTTTTTGCAATTCACATTTTACTTACCGACAAAGGCCAGTAGAGTCCTTTAAACTTCTCATTAAGCTTAGAGGCATAGGCAAAGAAAAGGAACAGTGCCAGCAGAAATTCCAAAAGCGGTGCCATCATGAAAGAGGCAGCTGAGGACGCAATGTAGCAGATAAAGATGATAAACGACAGCACCTAAAGCACAAGGGAAAACACTCGTTATTTGCATGGAATAGCAAAGCCTCAGGCAGCTCTGGGCAGCTTGGAAGCCTTATTATCCTTGCATGTGTCTGTGCTGCTAGGGTGGTGAATCTTGTTTCCTCCTTTTTCTTCTGGGGCCAAATGAATTCTCTTGCTTAGCACAGTATGAATTTAAACAGTCTATTTACTTCAATGCATTGAGACTGCCTTTGCAGAGAGCTTCTGTGGGGTTACACCTCTCCGAGGCAATGATTTGCCCTGGCTTGTAGACCACTCTGACCACCCAATTCTGCACATGGAGCCGGGTGTCCCCAGCAGGTGTGCGGGGCTGCGAGCTGTCGAACACGGCAGCTGCCGACCGCAAGCCAAGTCATTGCTCAGATAGCCCGAAGAACCTCCCTATTCGTCTTGGAGTTTAAAGGAAAAAAAAATCTACCACTGATGGATAGAAAAGTCTTAGAACTAATTAATCTCTGTTTTCTGTCTTTGTTTTTAGCCTTCCAATGTAGACTGCCTTGTTTTAGTAATATTTAAGTGTTTTGCAGAGTAATAATGTAGATAACATGCAGTAGATTCTTTATCTCTATGCTGTTTTGTAATCTCTTCAGCTGGTTTAACCCCAGCCCGGGACACTCAAGGCTGCTCTCAGACAGGTAAGGTCTGACCTGGCTTTTTTTGAGTACGGTAGGGGAAAGGAAGGTCAAGAGACAAATTTCACATATGTAGTTTGTGATCGCTTTGATCTCTGTGCTGGCTGACGGGTAACACAAGTGCTGCCTTTGAAAAGAGAGCAAGATTTCCTATTGGTAACGCTGACAGTCCAGCTTGTATCCAGCTCCAAATCTGGACTTTGGACAAAAATTAGTTAATTACAAATATATTTTAAATGTCACTTAACTCCTTGCGGTTCTCAGGTCATAGAGAGATGGGCTAAGTAATACTAATTACATCAGCAACTCTCTGTGCCAAGGTATCTGAATATGTAGGAAAACTGGTAAGAGCTTTTTTCTAGCAACAGCTGCAGCTCTGGCCTAGCTAGGCCAGATGTTAAGGCAAGGTTCTACCAAGGCTGTGTGGGGTTTTGTTGTTGTTGTTGAGATTTCCCTCTTCCCTTCTTTGTTTGCAGCTGGTCCTTTTAAGCAGCAGTTCCTCTCACGCCGGTATTTCTGCACTCGTGAAACAGAGGCAATAGGTTGGGTATTAACTGTGAGCGCTGCTGCCGCCTCCAGCCGCAAAGACACTCGTCGGGCTGCGTTGGCGTTTGCAGCTGCCGGTTCCTGCCCGCTTCCTCCCCGCGTGCCCTGGGCCTGCTGCGCTGGTGGCCGTGAGCACAAAGCGCTGCCCGGAGCCCGTGCGGGGCCGCGCGGCTGCGGCTGCTCCGGGCGCAGCAGCGCTTCTGCTCGCCTTCAAAATATGCCTGGCCTTTTAATTGGAATGCTACTGACCGGAACATTTGATGTCATTTCAAAAACTGGTATTTAAGATATACCCTTCATCGATGGCACAAAAATTGATGCTCCCTTTTGTACTTGCAGATATAATGAACACTATTTATTTACTTTTCCTGATCTTAAATCTTCGAGGTAAACATCTAAGGACTGAAATGTTGCTCTAAATTAATTTGAAGCAACCTTGAGATTCTAGCTTGATCTTACAGCTTAAAGGCTATTAAGTGATGTGCTGCCAAACTTGTTTCACACCTTCCTCAGTAATTGAGCTTATAAAACTGGGTTCAGAGAAAGGTCAACCAGCTGGGTCTTGTCATTTTTCCTTTCTCTAACAGTTCTCTCTGTCTATGCTAAGAAGAGAAGAAAGAGGCTCAGCCCAGTTACAAGCTCAGTTCTAGCACTTTCAGATTCAAACTTCTGCTTTGGGTGGGGGGAGGCAGAGGGGCGGGAGGAAGACAAAAAAAAAAAAAAAAAAAAAAAAACCACACACACACACAAAGCGTTTTATCAGTTTTGTTAATTTGTATTTAAACTGTGCCTCTTCTGCCCCCAGGGATTACATCCTCATCACCAACAGCAGGAGCCTGAACAGAAAGTTCTAGTGCACAAAGAGCAGGATCTCATCATAGTCAGGAAAGGATAAGATTAGAGAGAAAAAAAAAAAATCTGCCGAGAAGAGCCCTGGCTTTTCACTGAGCATCTTTTTTTTTTTTATCACCATTGGGAATGTGCCTACTTTTTCAAATAAGTAGTGTATTTTGAAAATAGTTTTATCCCAAATAATAATTACTTAATCTTGTATTCCCAGGCTTATTAAATTGTTAATAGTAATAATTCTGAAAGCCAGGCATCACTGTGTAAGTGGGTCAATCCATTCCAGGTATAAAATACCATTCGTTAGAACGGCTAGAAACCAACGTGCTCCATAAGGGAGGGCTGCAGCAGTGCTGAGCTCAGGGGCAGAGCACGAGGCCTTTGTGAGCCCAAACACCCCTGCGATGCCGGGAAAGCCGGGCACCTCGCGTGCTCCTGCCTGCGGGAAAGAGCAACGTGCTGAAATATCTTAACAAGAGGCCAGGGCTGATCTTGGACAAGTGTCTGCTGCTGTTTATTGGCAGAGGGGGAGTAAATCGTTTAGAGGTCTCTGCTGTTCAGTTATGTCCTCCATCGTGTTTGAGGTGAAGTTCTCCTTGCCCACAGAACCAGCTGCAGGCCGTTCCCCCAGTACAGACCTGGTGGAAGGCACTGGGCTCGCGCTTCTTCAAAGGAGGCTTTACACAAAGCAGCTCAAGTTTCAGCTATGAAGCTCCCTTCAGAGAAGACTGAAAAGAAAGGAAAAGACAGGCAAAGAGAAAGAAAACAGGAACAACGATTTCTACATTGGTTATGTCGCCACACATTGCACATGTTGAAAGACAGCCGTTTTTATTTGTACGGTATTTCTATGAGAAAATCTGTAGTGCCATTGCATAGTGGCTTCAGGGATGGGGAATAAGGAGACGTCAATTAAAATAATCACCAGGACAGTCATGAGGGCTTGACTGAAATGGCTGGGATGAGAGGCTGAATGCACAAATGGGATCTTCTGGTGGCAGGTCTGAGTGTGGCTGTTAAATGGTTCCAACATAGGGCAGGAGAACTGAAAAATAAATCTCTTGGAAGGGAGAACACAGCATGAATCCTATACTGACCTTCAAGATGGTAACTTGACTATTTAGGAAAAATCAGTAGCTTAAGACAGGAGTGTTTTAAAATGTATGGAAGAAATAATGGATGTAGGGAGGAGAATGAAAAGGGAAAAGAAACTAAGGAGAAAAATATTAACCTGACACAGAAAGAGGGACAATTAAAAAGGAAGGATCAAGACAGGAGGAATAAATAGGATCAGGAGCAACAAAGCATATACGTCTATTTGATGTTACAGTTTCCTTGTACCAGCCTAGATGGAATAAAAAATTAGTAATGTAGGAAGATCAAAAGGAAAAGGGGCAGGGGAAAAATCCTTCCTTCTCTGAATAAAATTTGAGATCATAATGAGCTTCTAGCAATGATTAGCTTCATCACCAGTTTAACTTGTTCTGAATGAAGTATTGAAATTCCCAGAATTAGTAGCCCATGGAGCAAAAATTATATCTGAATATTGTGAGTAAATACATTTCCCCTTTTTAATAAAAAATGTGTGTAATGTTATTGGGGGGGAAAAAAAAAAAAAAAAAAAGTGTTTCAGCAACCTCATTCCATACCAGTGCAGAGAGCTCGCAGGGCCTGGCAGCCCAGCTCCTCTTTTGGCTGTCTGACTCCCTTGGGATGGGCTGGTGCGGAGCTGCAGGGAGCCTCTGCTCTGTGAAGAGGTCAGGTCTTTCCCTCCGGCCCTGTGCTAGGCCAGGTAGGTTTTACTGGTGCGTTACACATAGTGGGCTCACGAATTCAGCCTCCTTGTCTGCGTGCTGCCAGGACTGAAGGTTTCTGTTGTCAAAGAAAGCCCAGATTATCTCCTGTTGTTTATCAGCACATTGAGCAGTGGGAATAGGAAAGGGAATAGGAAAGGGTGAACGTGGCAATTGTCTTAATTTACAAGGTTTGAGTTAGTCTGTTTAGCTGTTTGTGACAGCTAAACTGACAATTTGCCAGCTGCTTCTATTGAACAAAAATCATGGCTTTTATAGAGCTGCTTCCACCAAGTACCTCACCCTGGGTTGTGGGCACTGGCTGAGGCTGACTTTCGTTCCCTTTTTGCCACAGAAAGAGAAGTAGTATAACCCTCCACCCTGGGTAAGATATTTGTGTGTTGCTGCTTTCCTCTGCTGATAACTTTTTTTTTACTGTATAAGCAGTTTTCCTTTTGAGTGTTGAAAGAATGGCTAGACAGTTTCTGTAGCTGAGCAGGGAATCTCTAACCTACCTACAGACATGTTGGTATTTGCATGACCTACAAGACTCATAACTAAAGCATATTTCTTGTGACTTGTCAAGCTGCTGAATAATAATATGATATTCATCAGCAATACTGAGAACCCCATTATGACTATGAGTAAAATACAGTATTCAAGACTTGTATCCCATTAATGTAACTTGCATATGCTTATGCAAAACCCCTCCCAACATTTGTACTATGTTAAAGCACAAGAAGCAAACACTCAGGAAATACAAAGCTGAACTACAGAATTAAACTATGCTATCCTGGATTCATCTTCAGTCATTTGGCATTCTCTTTAATTGTTTGTGGACTGAATTTATTGAGGCATCTGTGTTGTCCTCAACAGTTTCTTCTGGTAAAGCTGACACAGGCGGAGGGGAACTGCTGCCAGGAACTGACACGCGACGCGTGCGGGCTGGCCTGCGAGGCGCGCTCGGAGAGCTCGCGCTGCAGCTCCCACTCATGGGGCGTTAGGGCGGCTGTTAGCCAAACCCTCATAGCCCCGAGTGGCCTTACAAAGAATAAACCCCTGTGTTGTCAAGACAGAGCAGTTTTTTATTACCCCAAGGAAGTATAATCAGTGCTTCTCTATGACAACAAAAGGGAGAGTCTGATCCCATGACCAAACCAGTGCTCCTCAAATACGTCATCTCTCATGCATGTTGAAAAGCCAGGCTGCCTCAAAATCGTAATTTGCTGGCTGTAAGGTTGTATAAGAAACAAGAATTTATGCAAAAAGCGCAAAGTTAGTTTCACTTTACTGTCTTCTAAGGGGAAGCTTTTTTGCTTTTCTTTGCCAACAACAGCTGTTTTGTAAATAATAGGGTGGAAGAGGGGTGGATTTACCTGAATTTAAAAGAATTCCCAGTGGAGCTAATAAACTACAAGATCTACAACCATGGAGCTTAAGGCTTTTGTTCCCAGTCACGGGATTCATCCTCGCTTCCTGAATACCAAGATGCTTTTTCAAAGACAGTCTCTCCTTTCCTGGCTGTTTCACCTCTCCTGCCCCAGGCCGGCGCTTGGGCTACAACCTCGCAGGGGTGTCCAGGGAGGAGGCCCATTCAGGCGCTTGTCTGTTACCTCCTTGTCCATAGGTTATAGTGTATGGCAGCCATGGACCAGGTGTACTGCCTCCTGGCCACTATTGCCTGTCCTTTCTGTTCCCTGAATTTGTTTTCTACCCTGAGCTAACACACAGACGCCAGACACACATTAAAAGCCTAACTAGTGCCCCACATTCCTGACCAGGGGGTTGGGCTGCCTTGCTATTTTGCCTGTGCCCTGACTCCTAAACAGTTGACACACCAGCTAAAACTGCAGAGATCTTACTGCTTGTATTTCTCACTGTTTCTACTACAAATGATGCCACAGAAACTCTAACTTCAATCCATTAACTCCCCTGCAACACAACCCTGGCTGCCGGATGCCCTCTAACGAGGTGGGTGGCTTTTCTGTCTCCTGGCAGGC